CACAGAAAACCACGACAGATCTTCTCCACCTCCAACAACACACCCTTAGGAACCATTATGTGAGAGATCGCATACACCGTCAAGGGGAGCAACACTGAGTTGATCATGGTAATCCGGCCAGCAAGAGACAAGTGCCTGATACCCCAAGCCAGCGTAAATGACCGGATCTTCTGCAGTAACGAGCTGAAATCTGCCTTCCTCAGCCTCCTGAGAGCAAACCGAATACCCAAGTACTCCAATTCTTCCACCTTCCGACATCCCGACAGTCTAGCAAGACGGGACTTAGTCGTAGACGGCGTCGACCGGCTAAAGAGAATCGCGGACTTATCTTTGTTGATCCTTTGTCCCGTCCACGAACAGTAGTCCTCAAGGATCGACAAACACTTCCTCACATTGGGGATGGTGGCACCTTGTCTGAAACCGCAGCCAGCCACAATTGTCTCCGAGAGCTGGCCATTGACCACCACCGAGAACCGTGGATTACAAATACAACCAAGCACCCACGAGCAAAACCGCGCCGGGAAACCCATCCTCATGAGCACCACTTCAAGCGTCCGCCAGCTCATCCTATCGTAGGCCTGTTCCATGTCAACCTTCAACGCCATCCAGCCCATAGTCGATTTGGAGACTTTAAACTTGTTCATAATCTCTTGCCCAAGTAAACAGTGCTCAGAAATGGAACATCCAGGAACAAACGCAGCCTGTTCCTCCGAAATGAGGTTTGGAAGCAAGCCCTTCATCCGATTCACCAGGAGCTTCGCAACAATCTTTTAAAAAGTTTGGCACAAACTTATAGGCCGAAAATTGGACGGCCGAGTCGGGTGCTCAATTTTCGGCAGCAGAACCACCACCGTATCCTTCCACCCTGGGTCCATAATACCCGTCAAGAAGAATTCCAAGCACGCCGCCGTGACTTGGTCCCCAACAATATTCCAGTATGCTTTGATGAAGGAAGCCTTCACCCCATCCCTGCCCGGCGCACGGTTCGATCCAAGCTCCCGAACAACCTCCCAAACCTCCTCTGCC